AGGATCTTGACTGCAGACAGCATGCTATGGTAGATGTATCCTTTTAGGCAGTTTATAACTAATAGGGGTATGGTGGGTTGGGTATAAATTCAGAGTAAACTACTCATGTCCAAACCCTGGATCCACTCCTGTGCAGGGTTAAATGTTATGTATGTATTAGGGAAAGGAAGACCAGCACAAGAAAAGCAAATGGAGTGAAGAAATGAAGGAATTCTAGCAAGGGTATTTGCCAATTTGCACCACAGGATCTTGTACCAGACCCTGCTCAGAATACGATTTCAAGATCCTTAAGGATACTGTTACAAGATCCTGAACAGGATCCATCCTATAGAGCCTTTGCACCATCACGTGATGACAGCCATGACAGGGGGCATGACAATAAAGTCTTTTCCCCTAGGGAAACTGAATCCTTTCTCATGTAAATCAGATTAGACCAGAATCAATAATTGTTCCTGTCCGCTGTCACGGCTGCCATCACTTGATGGTGCAAAGCCTCTATAGGAACTTGAAACAAAATATATCAAACTTAGAAGATGCCTATTGATTTCTCATTTCTTTGATTATTACACTGCAATGTCTATCTATAGATAGTAATACATAAAAATAGGTATTAATACCTTAGTTTCAGTCCTTTATTGGTTTTTGTTTTCCCTAGATTATAAACCTTTGCTGTTTCAACAACATCTCTTATCTCTGCAACCTAGGACAGCCAACACAGTTGAATAATTGTTGTATTATTAAAGTACAGTAAAAATAAGGGAGTGTGTTTATTTACAGTCTTGTGAACATAGTCCCTATGAATCCCCAATAGTTCTTTCCCGAATTCACTTTAGTGAAGACAAACAATATCTTCAAGTAAAGGTTGGACATTATAACACTGCAAAAATAATACAGTAGAGAGCAGGAACAATTTAAGTATGTCCATCCTCAACTTGGAGCCGTCGTTTTGTGGTCACTCTTGAAAGAAAAGTAAAGAAAGGTTTATTCAAGGAGTTTTTCAATGATTTTTTTATCAGCGGAAGGCAGAAAAAGCCCTGCCCTGTAAGCTAGTATAATGTCATACATACCCTGTATACAGGTCTTCCCTCATGACTACCAATTCCGATACGCACAAAACAACCTACTATAGTATCTGCTAAAAATGGCATGTGAACCCACCTAAAACATAAGAACAATTATTATAATTCACACCTTTAAAAGGAGTTTATTATTTGCAGTGGAGAAGATTAATGCCTTTTCAATTCACCCTAATTTAAAGCTAACCCTTTTGAGGCTGAATTAAATGATTGGTACTATTTTCTCTCTCAACTGTTGCACGCAACATGCTTACATCATGTTTTGGCTACCATTTACAGTCATAAGTGAGTTTTATGGTCAATTTACAAGCAGCAACTTACGTAGTCAGCATTTTGCATGCGACAGTTGAAACGAAAAACATACTGTACCATGTAAAKCAGCCTCTTCCAATGTGAAAATATTACTTGTATTTCAAGATTATGTAACCAACACAGCCAAAGTCGTCTGTTTTTTTTTGGTCGTCTGTCAATCAAAAGGGCACATGTTGGAAGTATTTCAAGAATTGATGGAAGCCAAATACCCAGTTGTCTGGAATTATAACTGTTGTCTTGGTTGCATAATTTATTATAATGAAAATGGGTACAAGATAATGTTATCTCAAATCAACCCTAACTAATTCAAACTGTTAGAGCTGTGCTCCAGGGTCATACATGGACTGTATAGCAGCTGTCAGAGGCGCCTTCACATGCTTTCAGTTTGACCCTGTTGAGCTGTGCCACTGCTGTACTTGCGGTGGTGATAAGTGATGGCAAGTTTTTTTATGACAAGTTAAATCCAGAGTGTTCCATTTAAAACCCATACCTACCACTCCTCCTACTCAAAATAAATGGTAAAAATTATAGGTCCCTCTTAAAAATAATATTAAATAATGACCCTTACTTCTCTAACTTGTGTCTTGACAGTCTGATCTTTTCGATTTCATCAACCATAGATACTTTAACAGGAGCACTATAATCTCGCCTGATATTAAACACATATGGGATTAGAATGGAAGGAAGGGGTGGGAAACTAAACTAGAAATATCCCACATGGAACATCGGCAGTTCAAAACAGCCTTTATCGTATGAGACCTTTGTTCTTGTTAGTGTCATGTGACATTCATTCTGCTAACATCTTAGTGGGTGAGTGAGCGACACATTTGCATATTCAGGCCCATCACAATAACTCATTTCTACGCTTTGTGTATCCACGAGATAAAATGGCAGATAGTAGGTCAAAAAAGTAACTTTCAAAAATGTAGCAAGCATGCAGCTTTTTCAAAAAAGGTTTTATTGCATGTTATATTTCAAGTCCGAAATGCATTATGGCTGATGTAAAGCCTTTGATTAAAATTAGCCTTGCTTGGGACCAAAACGCATTTATGCCCTCGAACATCAACTCTATTGTTATGTTGAACTGCGGCACCAATAATGCCGTCGAGGAAAAGATCAACCTTTTTCTCATTTGATATTGATTATATAAGACTGAGAAACATAAAAAAAATTTTAAATGACAGCTATCTTACTCATCATCAGATCCTGCATAAGAATCCTCATCGGCACTAGACTTGCTCTCATCTTGATCATCTTCATCTTCATCATCTGTAAAAACTTCACTTGCTTTGAGAGGCTCCTTCTGCTCTAAAAATGCTTCACCAGCTTTTTTTTCTTTCTTCTCCGATCGTTTTGCTTTCAAGTCATCCAAGGCTTTGACTTTCTTCTCTTCAATAACCTTCTTTCTTTCCTTCTTTCTTAATGCTATCCCTCCACCTTTGAAGTAGCTTGCTTTTTCTTTGTCTTTCTTCTTCTTCTTCTCTTTCTTCTTGGCATGCCTGAGCTTGCGTTCAATTTCAAATCTTGTTTTCAGAGCTTCTCGTCTTTCAACACGGTTGAAAATTTCTTGTTCTCTTTCTATTTCCGTCATTTTTTCTAACATTGACCTGTCGGCTTCATCTCCGATTAAATTTTCATCCCAACCGTCATGATACTGCTCCTCATCCTCATCCGAGGAAGACAATGATGATGATGACAGTTCTAAAACCAATAATTAATTATTAAGCATAAAAACATACAAAAAAAAAAAAAAAATTACAAGACACACCAGTCAAAACTTTAATATATATTTAGGGCTTAGGTTAATGGCCAGTAAGTTGCCAGTCATGATGACAGGCCAAACTACTAGCTTGGTTATACCTTGTTTGTCGCTCAAGATTACCTGTCCAAATGACAGGCAAGGCAAAGATTTGACCGGACAAGTTCCATTTCAGGGCAGACATTGTCCCATGTCTGGCGATTATTTTAAGCCCAAATCCACCCAAGATTTAGTGAGAGGCAAGGCAGGCTATCATTTTATAGACTTATAGTAGAACAGCCAATCAGAATGCAGGACTTATGATAAATTGTTCTCCATTATTTTGTTTATATGCTAAATACTAATAGAGGATAAATTAAGGGTAGAGGTAGACAAAATAACCTTACACTCACCTCCTGAAGATGTCTCTCCACTCTCCATCTCCGAAGATTCTGATGAGGACCTCTTCTTTCCTTGCTTCTTTTTGGCTTTTACCTTGGTAGTTTTGCCTTTGCTTGTTTCAGAATCCATCGTCCACTATCATACAACATATTTTAGGAGATCAGAATAACTCAAAATATTTTACAAAAATATCAAGAATCATTCCCATGTACTGGCCAGTATTTAACTCAAATAATTTGAATAAGCATGAAGGAAGCTTCTTGGGTGCTTAAGCAACCGACCAAGTGCACCGGCCCAAAACTCAATGGATGCATGCTAATTGATGATCAATGCTTTTGCACACTGTAACAAAGCAAAAGTGTAAAAAATCTTCTTTAATCAAGAAAAAGTCAAATATTTTTTCTAACAAAATTTCCATTACATAGCATGTGCTACTCAACTTATGTCAGTGTGCACCACCACACTAATTAACCAATTAGAGAAGTGTGTTATATTGTGGCTATGTTATAACAACCAATCTTATCCTCTGAAATGGGGAAACATTATTCCCAAGGTAAAAAGATCAATTTTGGGATAAATTAGCCAGAATTAAATGAAAGATTCGACTGGGAAAGAATGAAAGCATGAAAAATGAAATGAATTGAGATAAAAATAGTAACCTCATTCATTTCAGACGAAAGAAAGTTATAATGTCAGCAAAATAAAAATCAATATATATTTTAGCAAACTTTAAAGGCCTCAAATCATTGGAACAAGTAATTAAAGAAAGATCATAATAAAGTATACTTTAGTTTTCGTCATATGAACAAATATGTAAACTGACACAGAAACACATTGTTTACTATTGTTTTGGTATTTATAAAACTAAGCATATCATGACTAAGCTCATTAAGAAAATTGCTGATCTTTTGGCGTAATTAAAAACCGGAGAAAGAATCACAATTCATTCGAATTATCAATACGTAACACCTTATCTACGACATAATGGACTGAACCAAATACAGGTACAAGGTTAGAACAATATGGTCTGTATTATTTCATTAATGTAGTAACTCTATTATCAACACAAAGATAGTTTTGACTACATCGGTCAGTATGGCTGCTAACCTCATCATCGCTGCCTTCTGATGAATCCAGATCGCTGTCAGAAGCCGCAGAAGGCTTGTTCGCTAGTGGCTTCGATGCAGGTTCCTTCTGTTTTGGTCGTTTGGTCAGACTCAGAAACTCCTACGAAATAACACACTATATTGAAGCGATATTTCAAAACAACCACTGGGTTATTGGGTTTAAATATAAGGCTACCTCCTCGAGGTCTGCACCACTCTCGTCGTCCTCGCTTTCCGAGTCGAATACGGCTCTTTTTCTTTTTCGTTTGGCATCGCCATCTTTCTTCCCCATTTTGACTGAAGTGACAAGAAAGGCCAGGCTACTAAGCATACATGACCCGCTCTGAATCATGGGAATGAAAAACAGCCTGGTTAAGGAGATCACTAATAACGATAATAATGAATAATATCATCTTTAGACGTCTTGAGGGTAGCTAAAGCATTATTTTAAATAGTTTTGAATCAATGGACAACAGTAGAATAATTTGTGAATTTTTGGGGTTGGTTGTGATGTGACGTCATAGCCGCCATACTGAATAAATTCACTGGATTTAATTCCAGGTGAAGTTCCGTGAGTTCCCTGGAACCCCTCTTTTGTCATGTCATGCCCTCGCTACGCCCTTACCTATTTGTGAGATCTCGTAAAGCTAGTCACCTTCTTTACTCTCAGTAGAATAAGTGAAATTCCATTTTGGTGAAGCCAATCGTACCAGTTTGTTTGTTTTTTGTTTGTTTTTTTTTTGCATGCCGGCCATTTTGGAACTCCCCTTTTTCGATTCCTGGATCCAGCACTAAATTTAGGTCATTATTCGTTATTCCAACATTTCCATTAATTCTCGAGGGAAGAATGCACGCCAGATGTGGGATTTCTTATCACCCATAATGTGCCCCCCCCC